AGATTCGGACACGGCGTGCAAGGGGGGGGGGGGGGGGGGGCAGCAAAGTGCAGTGACTATGCCGTACATATTTTAATTTTTGCATTCTCTGGTTCTGCTGAATCAGCTGCTGATACCAGGGCCCCGTTATAGTTGCAGTGAAGCAGCTCACATCAATGCATACGTTTATGCGCAAACACATTTGCACCTGAACGTTTTTATGTTTATGCGTAAAGCCATTCACGCATATACATTTCTGCATTTATGCATGAATGTTAAAACTTGTAGACAAGCGTCGACCTGCGCACGATTGTCCCGTCACTGACAAGGACAGAATGCGCGCATGCCATATCACGGACGTCCTGCGCGCAGGTGACACCCGTGACATCCATTAGTTTAACTGAAATTCGCGACGACATACTAAATCACACCAGGAAATGTGTAACGCCATCAAACGGGGAATTAAATTATCTATCATTATCCGCCCTAGCAATGAAATGATATGATATTTTAACGACCTGGTGCTGCATCATTTGAATGTTCCGCGTGGGCGCTTCGCGCGGCAATTGAGTTTACACGTGGCAACACCCTTGACATTGCTCTGATTTAATTACTTTGGCGACGACATGCTCAAAGCTTAACAACTATTTTTAACACCGTCATGTAAAGAATTAAATTCTGCACCAAAATATGGACTAGCAAAGGATAATTTATGACTCCATGGCACACGGCGTACGCGCAAACACAAAATTTTACTCCTGAGACAACACCGCGGTAAACACACTAGTTCAATATCCTGCCACCAGGGTCAGCCGCGGCGCCACTAGTAGTCATGTCCGCTCATGGAACGTAACGAAGAGATGGCGGTTATCGCGCACGACTGGGCACGGGGCGCTTATTAGCACCATGGCTATGATAACGTTTTGAACGGACAGTGATCAGCTGCGAAGCGTGCTTTAAGCACGAATTAAAGCTATCGGAAAAGGTGCAGAGTGCTCGCAATTGTCAAGATGGCGCCCATAATGCACCTTCACAAGACATTACTCGTTACATATCAAGGTCAGAGGTTTTGCCCGGCCAAATGTGATCAATGTCTAGCACAGGTGGACCACAAATGTGCTTTGCTTACGACGACCGAGCTTTGCAAGCCAGTGCCATAAGAAGCGCACCTGACGATCATTCGTCACACGCTGCAGAAACCGCTCCACAAATGAACATGCTTGTGCGTGGCTGTTCGCGTCCGTGACACAGAAACTCCGGCAAGGCGTGGTAACTTGCATAATTTTCGGGATTGTGCTGTCGTCATAAATCAGCTAAGTTTGCCTTTCCAAATGAAGTTGGTCACGAATACGACAAATGGCCCACAGCTCAGCCAAAAGTGTTTCCTCCTTTATAAGAAGTTCTGAAGAGAGCTAATACGGATGGCGTGATTGATAACCACGCATGGTTCTGCAGTGTGAACGAGAGCATGCCCCAAATGCAGCAGCAACAGTACGTCCTAGAGCTGACTCTTACAACGTTCGGCATTCATATAAACATCTAAGCGAATGCGAAACTAACCCGTTCCCACTCCCATGCACCGACCCCATACTGTATATATATATATATATATATATATATATATATATATATATATATATATCTTTGCCACATAGGTTTAACAGCGATATGTCCAGTTGCTGGCAACGTCTATTTTGGGCGCGCTATCTCTTGGTCAAATGCCACTTTTCACGGTGGACTTGATGAACAGATATGAATCATTTTGCATATCCGCGTTCATCGACCCAGCAGGCTTCTCATCGACCCGGCACCTGCGCCGCCTCCCTGAAATTGGCATGAGGCACTGTGTCACACCCCACGACACGTTCGCCTGTGCCACTGGAAGTAACCGTATAGACTGCGGTTAAGTACGCAATATCATTGAAGGCAACGACAACGTAACTTACACTTACATGTCGGGACATAATTTGCACATAACTTCACCTCTTGCGATACCAACCGACGAAAAAAATACTTGAAAAGACATAGACAATTTCCGCTAGTTTTCCGTGTTAGGCCAAGATCCATGTCCAAATCAGCCCCCTCGCCTGCGAGCGTGAACGGCTGGCGCATCAAATTGCTATCCGGTGATAGCTGAGCGGTTATGACCCCGGATAAGATAGGCGTGAAATCGCTGTCCGCCGGCGCCCGTCACCTGCCCCCTAACAACGGTCGACGACCGTAACGCAGCCGGACGTGGCGGGCGAGCGGCCGCTGCCGCAGCGCCCACTCTCTCCGCCGGGCCATGAGATTCGGCGGCCGCATTATCTGCACCATAGCTGGCCCATTAGAGACACAGATTACGCCATCAATTGTCGCGTGCGGTCCTAATTAGACAACGTCAGGGCGTGACGGGTTCGTCGCTCACAGTCCGTGGCACTGATTGCCCAACCGGAGGCGGCACGGGCTAAATGTCACGAGCGGCGACGTCTAATGAACGTCATCTCGACGAAACGAGCGTTCGGACCTGTGCCAGCCGGTCCTCGTCGCCTTGGGGTATGTTTTGCGGCCGGTCATGTCGTGTGGTGGCCTTGGCCGTGTGTCGTAAACTGGTCTGCGCGACCACTTCATGCTGCCAGAGGAGTACCGGGGGAGACAAAACGACCATCCTTCCTATCCACCGTATCTTTAGCAATATTAACGTATTCCTTAAAAACAGTACGCATCAAAAACATCATTGAGTGTCTAAGTGCAAGCGGCAGGGTTCCGCAATACGTCCCAAGGCCTTAAACCCGCGCTCTGCCTGGGCCTCCCGACCACCTCGTCCATGGTCATCGTCTCAGCTAGCAGCTGGGACGAGAGTGCAGTGGGCCGCGGGCCCCCTGGCGGCGATGGCTGTTTTTCGTTATTGTTATGAATGGAGCTCAGATGCAAGCGTTCGGCTTTAGCGCCAATCCACTCATCACAGCATATACGCATTCATAATCGAATTATCAACAAACAAACAAACAACCTCGCCCTAGGGAAGCTGGGGGAGGCTCTAACTGTTCCTCCCCAGCTTGTCTATTGTTTGAGCAAGATACACCGACACGAAAAACAGCGTATTTCTTGTCAAAATTTCAATGGACCCTGCCTTTTATTTTTCGGCCATAGTATGACCTAGCCGGTACGAAAATGATTTAATGACAGACGATTGCAACTTAAAGCTTGCGTAGCCACTGCGCCAGAACTACCCCAGCGCGGCGTCATGAAAACGACACCATGGTCTTCCTCTATGTTTAGAGCATAATAGGACGCGTTGGTGGCCCGTGCTAAGTGAACTTGCGATCTCGCTGAGTATTGTCAATGTTCCCATGGTGAGCACCGACAATCTGTTTTTGTGAAATTCTTGGTAGCCAGGAGTGTATTTAGGTTAATATGAAGCAACAATATTTCTAAACCAATTTTGCACAACTTCAATCAGCGAACGACTGCTGTCCAACCATGGTCATCCTATGTCGCTTGCCTTATTTGAACCTGGAACCCCACGGCTTAGCTAGCATGAATCAGCGTGATCTCAAGACCTCACTTTACCGCATGTCTTCGTTGGTCGTGGTTGTCCGTTTGCTTGCTGGCACACTTGGGACCTAAGTTATGCCTGTACTTCACTACATTCACATAACGTGACATGGCCCGAATCTGACAATGCAAGTCAGAATGGGCCGATCGGCCAAACTTGGCCGATCCATCGCGTAAGCCTCCGAGAACGACCTTATAAGACATCGGGTCACAACTGATCTCGTAATATGACGAAACAGGTTTTTACCCTCACATCTTAAGCGTAAGTTTTTACCCTCATATCTTCCCCCGCTGCATCGGAAAAACTGGGGCGGGGGGAGTGATCGATTGGCGCCTGCTGGTAAGACCAGGGCTCAGTTCCAACGCGTGGAAGTCGAACCTCAGACGTGTCAAGGTTGGAACACATCATCACTGTGATTCACACTTGTGTTTTGTTTCGGGTAATTTTGACTTTGTGTGTCTCGAGAGAAGATTGTCCCAGGCTTAATTCACAGCGCTTGGACTTACCTTGGCGTGTACCGCACGCGTCACGTGCATGCACACGCTCGTGGGATATCATATTATGAGAATAACATTAAAGGAGGTGTTAGACGCTTCCTCATTTTAAAACATGTTGGGAGACATTAACATTGAAAGGATAGTAAGCGTCTCCATCTTACTGACATTCTCCTAAAGCCCTGGATTTACATATAGACTGGAACATAACTGAGCGGATAAGATTGCGAATATAAAACACCACTGAAGCGTATGATTGGCTTTTCATTAACCATGCGAGCAACAAGACCAAACCAATCTGGCGGCGAAGTCATTTCAGCCGTATCACGCCGCTGACTCAAACCAAAGCGTAATAACACTTATTGAACTGCTGTTAGTGGGATTGAAGCCTTGTGAAGCCGTGCTCATCTGCTACAATGAGGAAAATTTGGGGCCCTCGCGGGTAAAAATCCCGTTACCTAATCCACTCGCTACGCAGGGCGCTTTGCCCACACAAAACCGCAGCCTATTCCCAATCATTGTTAACACCCGTTTGTCATTTTCCAGCAGTTCGGCTATAAGTTATGGAAACTTGTCGGAAACGTTTACACCCAGATTTTTGCCCTTTTACGCTGGTCATACAACATTGGTGCGAAGGGAGTCGATTATAATAAAATCCTGCACGCAGTATCGTTGTGTACCATCTTTAACTACCTACATGCCATGTCGTAAAAGGAATTGCCCATTGAAAAAGGAATTACCCGCATACATGCCCATAATTTTTCAAAAATATGCACCAAATCTAAGCCATCGCTCATTCCATATCGACACTTATTGGTTTACCCACCCGTGAAGTCCTCTGGGAGACACGTACAGTTAGACATCGTACCACCCAGCTGTAGCCGATATGAAGAGGCAATCAGCAATACTGCCTGTCACCCTCCTATAGTTAATTACTAGTCCCAATGGAATCCCAGCCGGAAAAATCGTCCAACAGCGACGAACTCCACCCTGTCCACCACCATCTTCCGCTTGCCCACCTTGATGGCGTCCGCGATCATGCTCCACTCGGTCTTGGTGGATCGCACGATGACGATGCGATCCCAGCTGAAGCGCAGCAGCAGCGACACCACTGACTTGGAGATCTTGGTGGACGGCGGCCGGGTGCGGGCTGTCGTCGGGTACGTGTCCTTGTTGGAGATCCTCGGATCCGAACATTGCTGCCGGGAGAAACGGGAGTTATTGGTGCGGTTGGGTATGGGAAGATCTCCCAAGACACTCGGGTCTAACCGTGGCTGCCGGGGAACAGAGGAGTTTGAGGGAGTATCCGTTTTTGAGATCATCGTACGTTAACATATTGCCTGAAACAGGGAAGCTGAAGATACGCACGTTTGTTGAGGCCATTGATATCCGAGCTTTGTCGCCAGCAGATGATCAGACCTGACAATAATGGACAATGTTTGAGACCATCTGTTCCAAACACTGCTGACGACAGACAGAAGACTTGGAATAGGAGAGTTATGAATACAGCTCCCTGTTCGAGGCCTCGAAAACACTGTTGCGGTAAAGAGAAGGGTTCGCCAGCTGTGGCACGCTAATGTGTTGGGGATTGCCGAGCTTAAGCGTTGTTATCCTGAGGCTGACAGTGACAAACATTAGTGTTGGAGAAGAGCAGTGCTTCTGTATACAAAATGGAGGGTTATGATGACGTAGCTCAACCATGTGTAGTTGCACCAAAAAGGTACCCATAAAGCAGATATGAGTTGCTGTAAATGACAGTGTGTTCAAGAGGTCACAATTGTTTGCCGATGTTTCGTTTGCTTTCCCTCTAGCGGGCTCTGAGTTTTTGTACGCGTAGACAAACTAATGTTAGCTTGCACTCACCTAATTTTTCGAAGCCTTATTTATATACATTGCACGTCACATTGGTGGTGGCGTTGCTTGTAAATAATTTTGTGCAAACTTTTTGTTTTTCCGAGTTCGGCAACTGGTGGCTGTGAACTCAGGATCCGTACTAAGCAAAGCAAAGCTACAAAACTAAGCAGATAATGCAGACAGAACTTGATTATGTTTCGACAAAGCCCAGCACCATAGGGGGTCGGGGTTCAGCGCGCCGTGAAAAGCACGACGTCACGTCTTCACCTCTCCGGGTCTTCCCTCTGGCCAGCAACCGACTCACCTCTAGGTCAGATTTGGACCAGACAACGCGCGCAATTCGATACTGATACACAGCATTAGTATGAGAGCCTGAGCTGCCACCAACGTTTCCCATAAGGAGTGCGGCCGGACGAGGGTCGGATCGAGCGCATGATTTTTGGAAACCACGATCAGAACACAGCACCGATTTCCCGAAGGCCAAGTTTCAAGAGCAAGCTGCCGGCTTTCTTCGGACGTGGCCCTGGGAACATCTTAGGGTCATTGTCCCACCTAGCTTTAGACTGATAGCGATCCTGTGCAGGACACCGCTCTTCTCCAATAACGCTGGCTGGCGCGGGTGTATGACGAGAGCGGTCACGTTACGGGCAAGACAAAGATACAGCACATACCGAACATGATCATATCACAGCTCGCAGCCAACCCCTTGGCTCATCTGCTGGCCGTTATTGCTTGGAACGGGCGAGCGCTGCGGGTAGCTGTGATTCCAGCCTGTATCGACTACTCTGGGTAAAAATAAAGGGTCAACGATCCACGGGCTTCGACGCCGATCGCTACGCTTCAAGTTGTTTTTAATTACTCGGAGTGGACGTCGAAGCTATCATGAGCTCTGCGTCGACAGCCATAATACTAAAAGGAGCGTAATCTCGTCCTGCAGCGACGGCGGGTCCAGAGCGCCGCCCTCGGACTCTGGCTGCGGGAAAAGCCCGCAATGGTCTCCGGTGTGGAAACAGCTTTCCTTGATAAAAGCGACTCAGATTTTCTTGAAGTCAAGATATATGCCAACCCCTGCCGGAAGTTGGCCATCTCGGAGAGGGTCATAACCAGCTTCTCCCCTGGTTCCCTCGTGTCTCGCAGCACCTAGCCTTTATTCCTGAAATACGTCTCAGTTTTTTAACAGTTGTGAATTCGTGGGACACCGTGCGAGACAAGTTGCAGGCAAACTGCAGTGACATTAACTTTATCTGCACCGAACACCGCACCCGCAGTTACAACGGCCAGCCGAAAACGGCCCGACCAGTGTCGTAACAACGAGATTCCGAGCCCGACCAGTGTCGTAGCAACGAGATTCCGAGCCCGACCAGTGCCGTAACAACGAGAATCCGAGCCTGACTGCCGTAACAGCGAGATCCCGAGCCCGACCAGTGCGGTAACAACGAGAATCCGAGCCCGACCAGTCGTAGCAACGAGATCCAAGCCGACAGTGTCGTAGCAACGAGAATCCAGGCCCGACCAGTGTCGTAACAACGAGAATCCGAGCCCGACCAGTGTCGTAGCAACGAGATTCCAAGTCAGAAAAGTGTGTGTGGGGGGGGGGGGAACTGATGGGTGTTAAGCAAAAAAGCGTCATTACGTCCAAACGACTGAATGGTGCCACGGTCGGTGAGGTGAAGGAGCCCAATCTAAAATGTGTCGCCCGTGTTTCAGCGTTCACACGGGGTATGTCCAAACATGCAAACGTCTTCATTTTATCACCCCGAAGTCCCAACACGCCAAGAAGTGTTTTGTTTGTGTTTTGTTTTGCAGTGTTTTGCAGCAACAATCTTGGATCATAAAGCTTGAAGGCTTCCAGAAATTTTACGGTAGCGCAATTTGGTGACTTATTTTCCTGCGAGCTACCACCATGCTGATTGGGGCTTTATGGCGCGTCGAGTACTAGGCCGTATAACGTCCATAAATAAGTAAGACAGACACTCAGGACTGCTCGTCTGAGTTTGAACCATCCCAAAACGTCAAAAAAGCGATGCGTAATGTTAAGGAATAAAAGATGTTCCACATTTGCGTGGGGTTTGAACTCAAGCATACTGTCATACTCATACTGTCATACTGAAGATTATTCGGTGAAGTTTCCAGCCCTGCCCATCTCAAGACCTGAACCTCTAGTTTCTGGCTTCACACCCGCAAAGATGTGCAGGCTATTTCGGAGCAATCAAATTCAACGTCAACAAGACATCCATTACGCCATAATAACGTCCTCCAAATCTTGCAATTCCATCAGCCATGCAGTGAACGAAAGCCAAGACAACTACATTTTTCGATTCTTACTTATCTGGCGTTCGTGAATACCATTTCCAGATATAACGGCCATCAATTGGCTTTCAATCAATTTGCGCAAGTTGCAATGACACAATCAAACATTGAGCTTTGAGGAGCATTTACATTACAGAGAAACAGTGCTGTCTAGAGCGGTCTGTTCCACTTAAAGGTGTACTTATTGTAATGAGTGGCATGACTACACCATATGTGATGCCTGCTTCAACATCTTCAAATGTGGAGCATTCCCTTTAATTGATCTCAGTGAAAATCAAAGCACTGGGCCGTTGAACCGTTGCAAGCACATTTACTAACTTACAAACGCAAACATCACACAAGCAAGCAAGTTACTTTTCGACATTTATTTGTTCTGCTTAGCGTGCGCAACTGGGATAAATAACGTCACATTACAACTTTCATCTACAGCTAAGTTCCAGAGCATGCTCGAGGCCGTAACCGACGCCGAGAAACGCTGGATGCGCCTCGGTCGCGAGGTGGCTTGGACCTCCTAAATCTTCTCTCGCCCCGTCCGTCCAACGTCAGGCTCGCGGGTAACGACTCGATTGCGTGGTCGGAGACTATCGACTCCCTTCGGACTTGATAATTGCCATCAGGGAGTCACACGAGGTCATGCGCCCCAGCAAGGTCGGCGGTCACACACACGACTGCGACCAGGCTTGGAAGACAAATGGTGCCACTTGCCGGATATGGCTGGGCATCCCACAGGGCGCACAGGAGATTCAGTCCTGTCAATAGTCAGGTGCGAGGCGTGAGTGACTGCATCAGGTTAATAGCACGTACGTGCAGCAGACAGCAGCAATAATACGGGGCGTGGCGAGCGGTCGACTAGCATTCATCTCTGTCCGGACGCTTCCCTTTCCTATTGAAACAAATGCAAAGTATAGTACTGATAGCTTTAATATAGTTATCCGCACTAGCCCAATATGCTACTTCATCGAACATACGCCTCAGCATTACTTCTATTAAACAGACCGCGTAGTCCCGCCCGGTCATCCATTTAGTTATTATTAGTTAGTAGTATTATTAGTTATACGCTGCATTACTTCTACGGGGAAAAATAAAACAATAAAATGCGTCGTCTTTACTTATACGCCACATTACTCTACTGTAAAAACCCCGTACACAATCTGAATGCTTCACGGTTAGACTGCTGAAAAACACATACTCGTCGCTTCTTCTATTCCTGTCATTATGGCTCCTGCAAGAATCTAAAGCATTACTTTATCAGCGAAAGCACTTTACCGGCCAACACCTACATTTGCTGCATTTGTGCATCCGGTGCTCACAAGCGGCACCGCGACTCAGATCGGTGCTGACGTCATCCCACACCATCACACCCGTGGGCGTCCTCTCACACCATCACACTCGCGGAGGTCATCCCACGCCATCACACCTGTGGATTTCATCCCGCCCATCACACCCGCGGACGTCATCCCACACCATCACACCCGCGGACGTCTATCCCGTTCATCCACCACCCGCGGCGTTGTCCACCCGAACACCATCCACACCCACGGACGTCATCACACACCATCACACCCCGCACGGAGTCATCCCATACCACTCACACCCCGCCGGACATTCCATCCCCACACCATCAGCACCCGAGGAGTCATCCCACACCATTACGCCACCCGCGGATTCATCTCACACCATCACACCCCGCGAACCTCATCCCGTCCATCACACCCGCGGAAGTCATTCCCACACATACGCCCGCGTACGTCAACTCACACCATTTGCGCCCCGCGGTAATCATCTCACACCATCACACCCGCGGACGTCCTCCCACACCATTAAGCCCGCGGAGTCATCCCGCCACCATCTACGGCCACGGGAGTCATTCCACACCATTACGGCCCGCGGAAGTCATCACTCACACTACCATCACAGCTGAGGGCAGTGACCGATCCGCGGCACCGCCAGGGCCTGGTCGGCATCGTTCACCCGCCGGCCATACTATCAAATTTGCATTCGAGCTGCTCAGGAACACCCCGAGGTTTGGAGGAAA